CCACGTATTTTAAAGAGACAAAAACATATTGAATAACAGCCCTGAGTCTATGCCAAACTTCATGTCAAGCTGCAGTTCCCTAGAGGGCTTCCCAGCTCCCAATAAACCGAGCAGATTATAAAATCAGCCTGCATGAATAGCACTGCACACAGAAAAAAATGTGCTGGCTGTGCAAGGACTGAGGAGAAGCTGTTTTAGAAACGAGCAGGAGTGGAGCAAAGAGCAGAAATCAGCTGAAATCCTCTTCACAGAACAATAATCCAGAGGCAGAACTCCTCTAAACACAGCTTTGTTTTGTTTTTGAGAGCTTTATTGGAATGTGAATTAAGCATTTAACTTGGCTGTGAAAGATTCTGAGATTGCCACCACCGCTCTTGAATGTGAAATAATCTGTTCATTAGCTAGCAAAAAAAAAAATTGTTTTAAATAGAACCAACTCCATAAGCATTTCTAATCTTGCTTTCCCTCACTGCAAATGTTCTCTTTACCCACTGAACTTATGAAAAGCTTCTCTGCTTCCTGAAGAGCATTTAGCCACTGACACGCTCCATAAATCCCTTCCCAGCCATGCCTGGAACAACTGAAATAATTCCCAACCACACACACATCAACACCAGCAAAAAGCAGAGATCAAGAAAAGCCTTACCCAGACCAATTCTGACATTTAGTGACAAATTTAGAGAAATCCAACATTCATTTCAATAAGTCAGACTAGCTGGGGGCAGTGCCAGGGAGCTCCACTCCTAATCCTGAAAGTCAAGCAAGCTCACTTTAAGTTTTGCTTCCAGCAGTGCCAAGTGGAACTGGTTCAGGCACAGGATTTTTCCACTGTCATGAGCTGCCACAGCCTTCCCCACCCCTGCTCATTTGTTAAAAAAGTGCCATTTTCATTTTTCACCACATTTTCCTCACTTAAAACAACATTTTGTCTGGGGAGGAGAGCACAGCCCTCAGTAACCAAAGGCCCAGTTCACATTCCAGGGCAGATCCAGCAACATTTTAAACTCCCGACACCAATCTTGAATGCAAAAACACGGTGCATATTTTTAGACTAAAGCCTTATGTGTGCTCAGAGTATGTTGCTGAAATGGAAAGAGGCTTTTCCCAGGGACGTGGAGTGGCAGGACAAGGGGGAATGTTCTTAAACTGAAAGTGAGCGGGTTTAGATGGGATATTAGGAAGAAAAGCTTCCCTGTGAGGGTGGGGAGGCCCTGGCACAGGGAGCCCAGACAAGCTGTGGCTGCTGGAAGTGGCCAAGGCCAGGCTGGACATGGCAGGGGGATGGAACAGGATCATCTTTAAGGTCCCTTCCAACCCAAACCATTCTGCGATTCTATGAAATTCTACAAAGCTCTCCCAGCCAAGCTTTCCTATAATCATCGTCTTTGCAAATCTGCACTTAATACATATACATATATATACATATGAATTTGCAGCACCCAGAGCATCCCTCAGCCCCTTTCCTATCCCAACAAGCTCCAGCAAGCAGCGAGGACAGGGAACCACACCCGAACTAAAATTTCCCACTAAAGCGACCGCTCGGATGTCGCCTCCTCCTCCCCCCTGGCTGTGACAGCGCCTGGGAATTCCCTCCGCGCGTTCTTTTTCCCAATCCCAAATCCCTGCCCGCCACCAATCCCCAAAATCAAACCCCATCCCCGTTGCTCCGCGGGGCCGGGACGCGCATCCCCCGTTCCCGAGGCAACAGCCGCATCCCCGCGGTTCTACCTGCGCCTCGCCGGTGTAGAACACCTTTCCGCCGATGCGGAGGCAGACGCGCTCCTCGGGCTGCGGCTGCCGGGCGCAGAAGGTGAAGGAGCAGCGGGAGCGGTGCAGTCTCCTCACGGTGCTGCGGACGAGCGCGGCCGAGCGCGGCCCCCAGCGCGCCCACAGGTACAGGTAGCACAGCGTGATCAGCATGGCGGGC